GAGGTCACAGCCACAGCTGATATGACTAATTACTAAGCTACATTCACTCCATCTGTCCCACAAAATGTCTAAGAAAGTGCATAGGGTAAAACATCTCCATCCTATGCTGGTGCTCATCAAATCCCGTGTAAAAATAACAGTGAAAGCACTTGAAAGATTTTATCCTCTGAAGTATCTAAACATTTGTGCCAGAAGAATTACTCAAGTTTCCATGTAGAGAAATTTTGTGGGTAAATTACAGAATAAGAACTCAGATGACAAGAAATGTGTGGGTGTGCTTGTTGTATATATTGTGGCAGATCCTGAAAACCCACTCACTCTCCTATGTAGGTGCCTGAACCCTACGATGAAATGCCAAGTTAGTTTTCCTGACTCACCTAGGTGTGTCATGTTGTCTCCAGGCTAGATGCACAATACATGCTGGCAATCTCCCTTTCAGGCTTTGTCTTGACAATGCAGCAAATGGCTTATGACTCCTGCTCCAAGATCCAAAACCATCACAGCTGCATGACTAAAAAAATAATCCTGTGTAGTAAATGAATTCTTAATGTTCAAATTTGTTCAAAAAATTTTGGCAGGTTAACTTGTATTCACAGAGCTTTATGCCAGTAAGGTATTTATTATTTGTGCCTCCTGTGCTAACTTATGTTGACTAATAATCATCCATCTACAGCTAGTATAAAACCTATGTGTGTACGACTGCTGAGGCTAATTTTGAATAAACCAAACCACATGCTCTCTGGTCTGGACCAAACTTTTATTGTTTGGTGATCTGGTAGCACAGACAAACAGTACTCCTGACTAGAACTGCAGTTTCAGAGACAGCGCAACTTGAGATGAAGATAGGAGTATCTACAGACAAATGTAGAAACAACCAAGTTTAGGGAGGAGGAATGGACTTCAGATGAGATTTTTTTGGTTGTTTGTTTCCTTCTAAGAAAGATACTGATAGAGTCAAATACCAAGGTGGGGACCTCTGCACCCGCCATGCAGTTTATCTGCTAGTGTGAACAGAACGGGAGCACTGCATTTGTGCCATTTCATATTACACAAACACCATTTATATTGTGTACGTAGAACTGAGAAGCACTATTTCACTAACCAAACCACAACGCTAAGCAATTACCCAGACTTCTGTCTATCCAAACACAGTAATGTTTCATACTCTTCCACTTCACTGATTTATTTTGTTAGCAGGGTGCATACACACACACACACACACACACACGCACACACACAGACATAGCAGCACACTTAACTGTGTGCGACAAATCTGAACAGGTGACATCTCTGTGCTTTTCATAAACCTTTCCTGGGACCACTCTCCAGAAGTGAGACCAGTGGAAGTGGAAGAGCCCACACTGGTATTATCAGCCCCTGCAAAACACGGTGATCACAGTCAAAGTGCCCACTGGGAATGGCCACTGGCTCGCACTGACTCCCCAACCATGCCCACGGACTGAGAGGGCTGCCCAGCCAAAGGCTGCCCTGAGGCTGACCTGCACGCAGAGGGTGAGCTCTCGGCTCACACACCTGCTCGGCCTGTTTAAGTTGCTTCTATCGATGCAGTGATAGTGTCTCCTAGTGGCTATATTCCTCAAGGAGCAGACCCTAATCCAAGCTTCACACCTGAAAATCCGGCTCTTTAGAGGCATACAAAATACAAACACATCTCTAGATTTTTAGGGTATCTAAATCAGCACTCTCAAAGTTTGTTGTTTTTGGGTTTTTTTTGACAAATAAAAAACCAGCAAAACAGTAGCAAGGTACTTTTTTTCCTTTAGTAAGACTAAAGAGAGAGATAAGAGCCATAATAAAACCATGTGAAGCAAGGACTTTGCTCAGAAGTCTGAAAGCAAGCATGGGCATCAACCGATCAGAGTGAATCTCATGTAACCTTTAGGTCCTATCCAGACCCTGTGAAAGCAAAGGAAATGCTGAAATGCTCTGCTTTGGTAAATCTCCATAGATCAAGCCACCACCTGTTGAGCTCTACACCAGACACCAGTGTCTGTGGGTATGGACCCACGTCCTGGGATCTTTGTACCACACTAAGCACTCCTGAAAGGCGATGCCAGCACAGATCAGGAGGCCAGGTCTCCCAGCAGCATCCTGCCTGCAGTCACGGCCAGCAGAGGACGTTTAAACAGAAGATAAAAACAAGAAACCTTGAACTGTATCCATACTTCGTGCTAGCCCTTCCTCCTTGAACAGGATATTTTCCATTTTCAGCACCAGCTAAACAACAAAAATCCATGTCAGTAATGAGAACTGTATCAGGAGATTTTGTGAAAGAAAGACTAAACCTTCAATATACAGACAGCGTAAAACAAAACCCCACTAGCTGGAACTACAGTAAGGTAGACCCAGAGGGCACATGGGTCTGATTTTGCCATGTTGTTGAATGTTTCCTTTCTCATTTTCTTCCAAATGAAGTTTTCCATTGCTGACCATCCTCTTGGAACAGAAAGATTTGTGCAGCAAATTTCCATACATGGATAAGCTTAACCAAATAAAATATTGAAAGAAAAAGAAAAGAATGACCGGAAAGGCACAGGCAAGGAAATCTTTCCTACCAAATCCTGTCTGCAAGTGACAACTAACTCTTAACAACGGAGCACAAATTTACCTTCCTCTGTATATACATCAGGGCCTTTTGTTGTTCATTAAACATCCTGCACACACCTGACATCCTCACTTCGAAGATTTTACATAAGCTTCCCGGTTAGAAGAGTAATAAGTCACTACAAAAATTACTGTACTTGGAGCAGTTTTAACACCACTAACTAAAACCTTTATATACTTCTGATCTCAACTGACATATCTAGCTGAACATCCCAAGAGAGACTAGATGTAAATATGGAGTGTATCCCTTTGTTCCCACCTCCAGTAGGTCCTTTTCCATGTACCTGTGTGTGCCTGAGATAGTGCCCATTGCTGCAAGCAGAGCAGTGTTTCTGCCACCATTCTCACATTGTGCCAGTGCTGGTGGGAAGCATTTCTTGAACAAGGTCCAGTCAATATTCACTTTCCCTGATGATCCTTTTGGTGCCTCAGTTTGCTGACCTTTATGCCAGAGTGAAAGCTAATCTCTACCCCAGCTTTTCACTTGAGGGAAGATGATAATTCAGTTTTAGAAGAGGTTTTTACTGGTAAACATGGATTGACAATTGAAACGCTTCCCACTCAACTTCTTTTTCCACACCTCCTTCAGCTGTCACAGACCGCTAACTGAATCATACCAAACAATTTCAGTTTGTCTTAGTCTAGGTAAATTTCCTACAAGGTTTGAAAACAAGGCCTAAACTTTTTGTTTCTTTTCTCACCCTGACAATTTAGCTCTGTTCCATAAGAAAAACAAAAGCATGCATCTACTGAAGCCTTTCTGGTTTTGGCACTCTGATCTTTTGTAGCCTGCCTATTCAGTCAAATTCTTTTAAAATCACCTCTCTTTCTACACACATTTAAAACCTCCTTTCATCCAAATTTGGCAGATCTCTCTAACACAGCCACCTCTTATTAAACTCCTGTACAATTGATCCCACCTTCCACCACTGGCCCAAAACAAGCACAGACCTCTACAGCCACCTCATGTGGGAATACAAACAGCAGATGACTGCACCATCCAGAGGAGAGTGATAGCTGGGGTAGTCCAAGGATGCAGAAGGGAAAGAGCTGCAACCCTTTCACCTCTGAGCTTCTTCCTCATGGCTCTGATAATTTGTTGACAGTATCTAGTTAAATAGAGGAAATGCTACATAGCATTAAACTGCAGCACTGCCACCAAAACAAAAATGTACAAATTCAGTGCAGAAATTCCCTGCAAAGGTAAGGCAATAGCAAATGATACATTAATGACTTCTCTCCCAGTCCTGTGAAAAGCCAAAGAGACTCACATATTTGTCCTCTGTTAGACGAGGGGATTGTCCTTTTCCCAAAGCAACCCAAACCAATACTTTCTAAGCTTCCATTCCTCCCAAGTCAACTGCTTGGGGGCCGCTGCACAGACAGCCAGCTTCTTCTTCTGACCAGGTAATGGGACACTTGTGTGCACACCCTCCCAGACATGTGTTGGGTTATTTAAATCAGCTCAGCAAGTCTTTTAGCCTGTGAGACACAAAGGCAATATAAACAGAGCTTTCTTTTGCACTCTGTCCTTAGAGAGTCCTATCTTGAGCAGATCATGCTGATACAACATGACAACATCCAGGGATAAAGGGGAGGCTCACACTAAACGCAGTCTAATACTAGGTAGTGTTATAAGAGGGCAAGCAGAGATCAATGAAATCTTTTCTCTCCTACAACCAGCAAGTCTGTAAACTGAACAAGCCCCCTGCCTCACCAGAGAGCGATGGAGTGGGCAACTCCTGCAATCCGAGCATGGGTAGGGACAACGGTTTCCTTCCAAGGGACACCACCAGAGCTGAACTGTGTTTGCTTTTCTTTAAAGCCTCTTGTAGAACCCTTTGCCCTTCCCAGTATTTTTCTTGCTAGAACTTTAACGCATTTGGCACACAACTGCAAAATTGCACAACTCCTCAAGAAGTTGGATTTGTTTGTTGCCTTTTGAAGGGACGGCTGGGGGGACAGGTTTTAGATTATTTTTGAAATTATAATAATAATAATTATTATTATTAACACTACTGTTAAATTTAGGAAGAAGCTTCCCTCTCCCTTCTGAGTGAACCATTCACTTGCACTCTTCTTTCACAGGCAGGTGGTTTAAGCTTGATCTGCCCTCCAGGGGTTAAATAAAGAAGTGATGGGAAGGAAACCCAAGACCTTTTCAGTGGTTCATATTTGAAATTTTTTCCCTCGCTCTCTTCTATATGTGGATCGTCTGCTTCTCGTTTCTTCTAGCTCCCTAATTATTGTGTTAGGGAATGGCGAGGGGCAAGGATTAACAATGAAGCAGATGACAGGAAACTGTTACCAAAAGAACAATGCCGGGCATCTCCCCCATCCTCCCGTTCCTCCCACCCAAGAGATGTCCCCCTCACCCTTCTGTCGATGCCATGGTTCCGAAAAAAACCCTGTCTTCTCAAAGGTCCAAGGGAATAATTTGGACAGCAGGGCGCGAAGGAGGTTGGTCCTTTGGTATAACCCTCGCTCACGTCTGGGAAGGAGCACGCAATTCCTTGTAATCCTGGGGGCTCCGCAGGGCGAGGATCCGGCAGCTCCGCTCCTCGGCTCTCCCCCACCCCGCCGTCCCGGAGCAGGCTCTCGGTGCCCCAGGGACCGGCGCTGCTGCGCCGCGGCCGCCCAGCAGTGGCCGGCGGGGCGAGGAGGCGCTGGCACCTGGGCTGCGATCCCCGGCGCCCTCCCCTCGCCGCGGGGAGCGTGTGCGTGTCTGCGCGGCTGTGTGCGAGAGCTGGGGGGCGACTTCACATCGGCGCGGCGCTGGCTGAGGCTGGATTGGAAGGTTTAGCCCTCGAGCCGTGGATTTGCAGTCAATCCCTCTCTATTTTAGGCACGGGCTGACATCACGAGCCGTTGTTACTCCTATAAATCCCCCCCAACAGCTCCTTGGCAGCAGCGGGGGGGGGGGCGGCGAGCCCCTCGCAGGGGGCGGGCCGGGCGCCGCCGACCGCGACCTGCCCCGTTCGCCGCGGCCGCCACCGCCTCCCGGGGCAGGCTCGGCACTCCGGGAGCCGGCCGGCAGCCGCGGGAAGGCGCGATCGCACGGACACACACACAGACACGCGGCCCCGCTGGGGTGTCCGGCTGCCGCCGCACACCCGTACGTGTCCCGGCGAGCGGGCCGGCGCTCGGCCGCAGCGGGGTCCCACAGCCCGGCCGAGGGGCTGCGCCCCCGCAGCCGCGGCACCTGCCCCGCCGCGCCGAGGCGGCAGCAGCCTCCCGGGACGCCCGGCCCGCCCGGCCCCTGTCCGAGCCGTGCTGTCCCACCCTAACTCCCGCCGCCGCCCCGCCCCGCCACCGCGGGGGCGTCGCGCGTGGCCGAGGCCCGGCGGACCCGGAGCCGGCGGTCGCCGAGGGCATTTTCGCAGCGTAGGGCAGGAAATTTCTGTCCGGTTCTGTACCCACACTCAGGTGTTGGGGCACAGAACGGTCGCTCAGACATCGCCACACACCTTCGCTCCCGTTTCCCTCAGCTGGGGCTCTGCCCGCCAACCTCAGTGCTGTCTCTCCATCCAAGTCTGACCAAGCTGATGTCCCGTTTGACAGGGAACAAACATTTCTGCCACAGCTCGTTCCCTCCGCACTGAGGAGGTGGCACGGAAAGCCAGCAGCCATGCGGAAGCCCCCTGACACCGTAAGGAGCTGGGAGGCTGCAGGGATTGCAGAGCTGAGCAAAGCCTGCCTGACCCTCCGCACCACTCCCACTCCCCCAGGATGCTTTTCCTGCGACCAAGCCAATTCCAGTTACTTGCCCTTAAAAAATGGCAGGATGCAGCCTATCACGCAATCCCCAGTCCTAATCAAATACACATTTTTTTTCTTGTAATCTTACCATGGACGTAGGCTTTCAACAGAAATCTTTTACAAGAGCAATTCTCTGAGAGTAACTGAGGGTGCCTGAAAAGAGCTTGTATTTCAGTATGTCCATTTCCTTTCAGTGCTATTTTTCAGCTACGCACCCTGACTTTTGGAAGTAATTTAATGCAGCCCTGAAACATACAAAGGAAAAACATACACTCGTTGGAGGGAATAGAATGCAGAGAGTGTTTTGCTCTCTTGCCATAGCAATATCCTTATGGCCTTTCCAGAATGCATAGCTCTTTTTCCTTGGAGGGAAAATGAGCTGCTATCCATGTTGTGCTATTTCACACCCTTTCTCCGACAGATGGCACAGATCCTCACCTGTTTAGAAAGAGATGTTTGAAATAGTTCTACATCTTAAAAATAGAGTCAAGCTATCAAAGATATTAGCAATTCCAGGTCACATGTTGCCTTTTTTCAAACATTTATCCCTATTTTTCCTCATTATTGGCATTAGATGCTAACCCCTGCATAGTTCCGCTCAGTCTGTAAACAGGAAACTACTGTGGGTAAGCCTGACAGAAAGGATGGACAAGCTGGTTTGTAATTCCTGGGAATACTCGACATGGCACAGGTGCTTGGATATGTTGATATGACTGCTCACTCATACATGTGAATACCTATGTCATACAACCAGAGAAATAAAACATTATGTGGGCATTTAAAGACAGCCAGATTTGAATCTGGGATCCAAAAATTATTTTAGGTCCAGAAATAGAAGCAAATGCTGCAACCTCATCCTCCTCCTGTAAAGGGCTGTGCTAAAATCTGAATCCTGGGGTTGAGAGGTATCTGGCTATTTTCTTGCTTCTGCTTTCTTTGAAGAGCATCATGGCTGTGAAGAGAAGGGTTTGAGTAGTGTTGTGCATGCACAGCTATAGCAACCTCCTGAGATTTTAATTCCATGAATTCCTACAAGTTTCTCTTCAAGAATGTACTTTTGTGTGATATACAGCTAGTGAACAGCTATATTGTTGCTGTCCAAGCCCAGAAACTTTCAGCTGATTTGAAGCCAAATGGGGATGGGATTCAACACTGAGGAGCAGTTAGAGGATCAGTAAATATTCAAATATGGTTGATCTTTAGAAAAAGGAGAAGAGTGAGGTCTAAGGCTGGAATGAAACCAGACTTTTGCAGATCTGTTTGGACTGGACAAAACCTAAAAAGAGAAAAAAGCATTTAGAACCTCATCTCACTTGTAGCAGTGGAGAGCAATAATACTATGGAAAGAAATGCAGTCATGGTGTCCTAGCTGAGAAGAAAACCAGCTCACAGGTCTTTATAATTTCTGTTTGCCATTAAATAATACAATAATTATTTAGAATGTAGAATCTTTCGTTTAATGTAATCATGAAAGAGCTTTCTCATTTCATTCTTTGTAATGGCTGTTAGGAAGAAACACATGTTGACTTTCTGCAAGTTTGTGCTTCTCCAAAACTGACACCTAATTTACTCTAACCCATTCTGTCAGCAGGGGAGTACCACACATTCATTGGCATGTGTTCCTCCCGGTAGAGGAATGAAACACATCATGTTTTTCACATTTAATTCAGGATTTTTTTTTTGTTGCTGTTGCCATGCACTTTGTCAGCCAAGCATAATCTCCTGGCAGGAGAAGACAGACAAAGAAGATAAAGAGAAGCAATATATTTTAATTGTAGCCCTTAAACTTTTTGATTTAATCAACATCATATGCTCCCATTGCCAGTGAAAACAAGGAAAGTGCAAAAACATACACAACAAATATTTCTGCCAAGAAAATAAAAAAAAAAAATACACGGAATGATGTCCAAAACTAATTGTCCTTTCAGCAGCAGTTTTCAGATTCAAAAGTGGGTAGAAACTACTGAATGCTAAGAAACTTGTAATAAGATTTTACAGCAGTAGAGATCAGAACTGAAACCAGGCTTGCTAACTTCAAGTTGCCATAACACAACTTCAGGATCTGAGTCCTTCTTGGTAAGAGCACTAAATCTTTTCATCAGATTCCCAGCCTTCAGATCCAACTATGGCTGTAAGCTGTTTTGGGCACTGTAATAATTTGAAGGTCCTAAAAACTCCAGAGTGTCCTATATATATTACCAAGAAATCATTATTGATGGAAAACAGTCATTACTGTCTCTTTTCTCCAACTTTTGTAGGGTTAATCCCTAGTCTTTAGCCATGACTGAATAGCGAATAGAGAATGATCTAGTGGAAGAGCAGTGACTAAGGACCATGAGGACACCCAGGTGTCTCCCTGGACAACATGCCCAGTAGGAGAATCTTACCCTCTGATGTCAAACAATTCAGCCTCAGTTCAAAAAAAGTGCTTGCCAAGTGTGAGACCTGGACATTATTCTTCACCCTGAAGAACTACAGAGGAGTAGTTTTACCACAAATGTATGGGAACTAATGGGAACCATAAGTTTTTCTAGGGTTTTCATAGTTCTGTGAAATAACCCACTTGGGAAAAATGTATTTAAAATATGTTTCGTGTTTTCATCTGTTTCAAATACAAGGTGAAAGAGAACTCCTCTGTACATTTCACTGTAGTGGTTCATGTACAATAGTAGGAATGGGTGTATTAAGAAAAAAGAATCTTGTTATTTATATATATAAATAGTCCTTGAGTTTTGTGCTGATTCTGCCTTTTAGTGTTCCTGAAGAGTCCCAAGTAGGAGTGACATGCAAAGAGACAAGGGCAGTAGAGAGTTCCAAGAGTGTGACACAGATAAAGCAAAAATGGATCTAAATAATGTCAGACATGAGTATGTAGGTTAAAAAAACAAACCATGGTTTATTTAAATGTGTAAAGTACTTGGGAGGGAAGAAGATTACATTGTACTATGGCAATACAGACAGCACATACCACAACAAGCTCATCCGTCATAACGAATTCAGGCTACTCTTTCCAGACTCTTAATCCACTCAGTCACACAGATCTTTGGGAGAGGCTCACCATCAATTTCTCCAGGGAGCTCCACGCTACAGATTAATTTCAGACAGAATTTACTGTCCTGTTTCTGCATGTCAGACTCAGGAGCAGAGCATCGTCCTCCCACCAGGGGAGACAAACAAAATATGGCAAAACTTCTCATGCACTAAGACCCTCTGTCATGGGTTAAGCAAAAGTAGCCCGATGAAATATCTGATCCTAGGACAAATTATCAGGCTGCCTGCCTTAACCTTATCCCAGATGTATCTCATCACTGGGATGAGAAGCCTAAAGTAACAGAGACTGAGAGAGATATTATACTATAAAATGCCATTTCCAGACTCAGATTTTTATTTCATGTTCTTCTCAATCCAGTCTTTGAAGGGAAGAGCTTTGGTGTAGCCACTGTAGAGTTCTAGGCTGCAAGTTTTATCATAACCCCAGCTCACTAATCCCATTAGGTGCCACCTTAGCTCAGGAGATGCTTTTCCTGGCAAAGTTATGGCAGCAATCCCACCAGTTTCAGCAGGGCAAATATTAGAAAAGGCTGTGTGGTCTTGTTTGGCACAGAACATGCTGTCAGTGATGCTGACTTGTATCCCATTATCCTCATACTGTTGCTCACACAACAGTGAATCCACCATCTGAACAACTCCCATGCGGATTGTGTCATTCTTGTATCCGTGATCTTTAATGTCAGCCAATACCTTCCAGCCAGTAACCATTATCTTTAAATCCTCTGTGGATGAAGTCAAGTCATGAGAAGATGACAAGCAAATGGGTTGAACACGACTGCTGATCCTGGCTTTGTCCAAGAGTTTTATGACAGCTATATCAGAATCGAGTAATATAGGGTCATAATTGGGATGCACTATGATGGCAGAAATCTGGAGAGGAAACAGAGTAGGAAGTGTAGGGTTAACAGCAATGGCAGGTCAGCTGCACTCTTTCCATACTACTAAAATACATTTTAGTTTATCTTCTTGCATGCACTATGGTGTTCTTTCACTCAAATGAGAAACATGCAATACATTACATAATATTGGAGCCAAACCTTTACTGCTCATGTCCTGAATGAAATGCTGTAAGAACAGATAGGATTCCTATAAGAAAATACTGTAAAAAATACAATATATTTTCTTACAGGAAAAGAATGAAAAAGATGGGATTAGAGAAAGAAACTAAAAAGGGGTCAGAGGGAAAGAATCAAGTTAATTATTTTGGATAAATTCCATTAACTAACTCAGACACACACCCCACACTTCCCCCCAAAAAGAGACACACATACCCAAAACTGCTGTTTTCTCATTTTGACCTCAGCCTTTCTAGTTCTGCTTGAAAAAAGCAAATCACTCTGGTGAGCCCAAGGTGCTATTTTTGGAGCTGGAGCCAGACATAAACTTCTTTCAGTTTAGAGCTGTATGGCCTTGGGGCTGAGAAGTGAAATGTGCTCATGGCATCAAACCAGGATTTAGAGCACAAGTGTTTCCCTCATAAATTGTGCTAATCAATTTTGACAGTAGCTGGCATCTCTTCTACTTTTTTACTGGCAATATCGCTCAAGACATTATGGCCCATAGAACCTGAGCTATTTTCTTAACTAAGGGTGAATGTATGAGTTGGATGGCTTCGAGGAATTCAATGAACTACAGCATGTAGTTCATATGCCTTCTTATGCCATTCCACTTGAGTCTCTACAAATGCATTTCAAAGAACAACATGCAAGAGAGTGCCTTGCCCAAAGGGTCACCTTTTTCTTCCCATACAAGACAGATGTGATCAGCATCTACCTGTGCTCATCATTTGTCACTCCTGTCAGGCTTACTCACCCTCAGGTTCTGGATTGTTTTTTCATCCCTGTCATCGTCTCTGTAGAATTTGCCCAGAACCACCTTGAGCTCTGCTGTCTTGAGCACGATGGTCTTGCCCAGGTCAGTGACACAGTGGGCTGCCACCACCACGGTGCGCTCATTCACCAGGGCCCCGCTGCAGATCAGGATCCAGGCCCCTTTCCGAAGGCTGTTCTCCTTCACCCCACTGGCTGTGCGATAGATGGCTGCTTGCCATGGCCACCTCATAGAGGTCACTGCCTTCTTAAGGGTGATGTTTTCTGCTTTTCCACAGACTGAGGAAACATGAAGCAAAAAGTAGGTAACACTTTCTCCCCAAAAGAATCTGAGCATTACTCTTGATTCCTTTTAGAAGGACCAAAACAAACTAAACTGCAGTGATGAATATGAAGGACAGTAGTCTAATTAGCTTCTGTCTCTAACCTGCAAAATTAAAGGAGTATTCGATATAGCTTTTTAAAACAATATTCAAGTTTTCCACTATTCACTGAATTCCTGGGTCAAGTAGGAATGTGGATTTAGCACTTGAGCAGGTGAATTTTCACAATAACCTTATTGAGTTGCACTATAATGAGATGACTGCAGAAAAAAAATGAAAAGAACACCCCTGATTCTTGTTTATCATACAATGCCATAAAGCCATCAGTGCACTAAAATTCACCCTAGGCAGTCACAGAGTATTTTTGAGGCCTCTCTTGGCACAAATCTTTGCACAGGTCAGTTAATGCCTATAAGAATACACTTGCCTTGCGACAAGAATGTTGAAGCAAATGCATCTAAATCAACAGTCATCCTGATGAAAAGAAAAACCTCTGTCTTGTTCTAGGAATGTGTTATCCATGCTTGGACCTGGGGTAAAACCCCCTATATCATGAAAGGTTTAACTTCAGTTGAAAGAGTTACATTGCATTGTGGCATTTTTTAGTCTCCCTTAGGAGTCTTTTCTTCCTGGTATGTAGTGTGTGCATGTCCATAGTGAACACAATACTTTTCAAAATACATCATATGATATCAAAGTAAAACCACAAACAAGAACAATTAGAATTTGTTTGTTGTTAAGATCTACTTTTCACAGTTTGCTTGATGTCAGTAGTGGAGTTTACTAAATCTTGTGACGTTCTTACCCTAACTTACTTTGTGCACTACCTCTAGATTAGATTTTATCTAGACTTACAGTTTGCAATATGAAATCTTCCTTAGCAGGGTTTATTAAAGGAAGAGCCTCTTTAAAATTGCAGACTCTCCCTTCTATTGCTTAAACTTTGATGTTTTTGTCAGCTGTGTGCCAAAGTATACAAATGAAAGAAAAAACCCATTTGTAGTAAATAATACAGAAAATATGAAGTGGTAGTAGAAAGCTGTTTCAAATCAGGAGAAAGACTAACTATACCTCTTGCTCAATAAAAGAGTAGAAAAATTAATGGCTAATTACAGTGCTGAAAGCCTGATCACTTTAACATCAAGTTCTAGTGGTGGATAAAAAGACACATATATCCTTCATGCTTTATTGCTCCTTTCTCCCAGCTGGAAGTATAGGCAGCCTACACTGCTGTGACTCCCTAAATATCTAACATGAACACACATCCTGTTCCCTCATTCACCCAAGAGATATGCACATTTTTTTTTCCCCTTAGAGACTCACTTGGAATACACACAGGGGCTCTCCCACTCCATTTTCCTGTCTTCAGGCAAGTCCTCCTGCTGCTGCCCAGGCGGCGGTAGAAAGGAGAAACGCACTCATACTGGAGCTGAGTGTGCAAGTGCTGGTACCCGGGGGGCAGTTCTCCAAATGGCAGTGCTGGCTTCTTGGTGGGATAGATTTGAAGCTTTTGCTTGCTGAATGCAGAAGAGTAAAGTTGATGCAAAGGTGTTTCTCTATTTCAAGGCACAAAGAACACAATAATTATAATATTATAAAAGCAATCACTACCGTAACTTTATCACCAGTTGTGTTAAATATAATTTAAAATCACATGAGGTTTGCTCATAAAAGAATAAGGAAAAAACATAATTCCAGCATAGTTTAGCAATACTCCCATTTACATCCCAGCTATTTTATTTACACATATGTGTACATATATATAATTACACATATGTAATACATATCCTGTTTGTGTCTCTTTTTCATTTTACAGTTTCTGAATTGAAATCAATTGCCTCTGAATGTGGAAGTTTTTTCCATTCACAAAAGGACTGAGATACCATTTTTTAAATAAAGAAATTATACCTGAATTTGGCATTGTCATAATTAATTCTCAGTAGAGGGGAGATAGACACATCTTTTCTCTCGTGAATATTTTAATAGACAGTATTAGGAATTGATTCAGATTAAATGATGTTGCTAAAGTTGCTTGATTTAGCAATTAACAGAGATAATTGCCTCACCACAGAGATTTCATAATTTCATAATTGCTAAGCTTCCACTTAGAAATTGTACTGATTAGCTGAAACAGGGCACATAATTAAGAAATAAATATATGCACCAGCATAGACACGGACCATAAGCTTGACTACAGTTATACTTAAATTTTTATCATTCAGAATGTGTCCCTTGCTTTAATGCTTAAAAGAGCCTATCTACAAAAATACCCCACCCTTTTTATGCCTGAAAAATTCAGCAGGAAATTAGTTTCCCTTGAGATTTCTGGTACTGCCTACATCCAGAAAATACTTTTTTTCTTTTTTTTTTTTTTTTCTCGTGATGATTTCACTTTTTATCACAGAGAGACACAGACACCTCCATCATATCCAATCTGTGAGGCAATACATACATAAGAAAGTAAAGTTACAAAGAACAAGAGCAATGGCAAATCACTTGTATTTTGGAAGAAGGATGAGAGCTGCTGTGGTCATACTTAGTCTGCCAGGGTACCATTCCAAACTCACAGGTGACTTGCAATATTGCATAATCTAGACTTTACCTCACTATTGACCTATGAAATGGAGATTCTACTTCAAGGGATTAAAAACAGTTCACAAACATGAGATGCCATCATCTCATAGCATCTTATGGATGGGAGGGCATGTATGTTCTCTCACTACAGCTCATACAGTGTTCATATCTGAAACATAAAAGACCTGTATTCAAAAGTTAATAGAGAAATTTAAGCAAGAAAATTAAGTAGCCATTAGGGGCTTAAATTGATTAATTTACGCCCCTAATGGCTACCTAAAGCCTTATGTCAGCTTTACAGGGCCATCTCTACAATCATACATCACAGACCTGGAGAGTGGCAGCGTCTCTAGGCATCTGCTACTGGCTGTTGCCAGAGACAGGATATGGCTTGAGCTGGACCTTTATTCTCACCTGATATGACTGTTCTTAGGACCAAAGATGAGGACAGTTCTTGCACTGAATTGAAAATTAAATTAGTCATGTACTTCAAAAATAACCCTGAAGTGAGAAATTACTACTTGGACGAAAATGAACCTGAACATTGCAGCATATCTAATTCTGATGGGGTTTATTTCAAGAAATCATCAGAAGGGTAAGCCCAGGAAGGATCTAATCTTTCATTCCTTCCTCCACTCCTACTCTACTTCCTCCTCTCCCTCATACCCAGCCTATATAAATTGTGCTGTATTGCTTTGAAACTTACTGGGAGCAGTTGCATTGCCATACCCTCTTCTCTCCTTGTGCTCTCCCTGTGCACTAAGATGGCACATGTTCATATTTTTCATCATTAACCCCAAGGAACTGTTCTTAGACTGTTCTTAAGCTTGCAAGCAGAATTCCAGCATCATCCTGTAGTTTGTCTGTCTCTGTCTGTGTATTTCTTCCTGGCTGCCTCCAGCAACTGGCAACCTGTGCTTAATCAGAGCTCCCCTCCCAGCAGATCTCATTGCTCAATTATCAGTAGATTTGTAGGAACCACTGCTCAGGCAGGCTAAACACATGGAGTGAAAAGGAGAGGAGGGGAAAAGCAATCACATTTTTTTATTTAAACTGTAGTTGACATATTGCATTCTCACCTTGATTGAACCTGCATTGGAAGCACTTTCTGTCTCACCAGGTCAGAGATCTTTGGCTCTCTGCAGGCTAGAAAAGATATAATGTTGCACAGTACTTTTTCACATTCACAGCTCAAGTGCTATGGTTCATACACATTTCCAACCTTTCCTCTCTCCAATGATAGTGGACTGAGTTAAGAAAAGAGGCAGTTAAGTTACGTGCATTAACGATCCTAAAACTGAAAGCCTTGGAAAAATACTACTTCACAGCTCACAAGATCTATCCCATTTACAACAGTGGAAGCTACTGAACTAGTGTGCAGTGGCACTTTCAGGCATGGAGGAAGATTTTTCCATCATTCAGCATGTCTGAATGCCACACTTGCACCACTATGGATGATAGTTTTGTATCAGAGCAAACTTTTCCAGTAATGGAATTATATATAAAAATACTTCATTTCCATCTGTGTAGCCCCACACAGCTAATTGGCATACAGAGAAAGGCTGCAAGATATTATGGACTTCTAGGAGTCTGTTTGTGCACTTATGGAAGGAATTGGAGGCTCTGATCCAAAGGAACACTTCAGAGTTACCTAAATATGTGTAAAATAACAGAAAGGAGATCTAAGATTTCTAGTTTTGCATATTCAGTTTACTTACTTTAAGATTAGGATAAAATACTCAAGTTCAATTAACTCTGCCAGGGTCTCCTTCCTGCTGCCCTGAGTGGAAGAAAAGGAATCTTGCAGGATGGATTTTATCTGTATGCCTGAGCAGTTATTCTCTGTGTAATTTAACAATATCTAGTACTTTGTGATTGATATATGTAATATATATATCAATTGATATAACCATTATGTCAGTATCACAGTAAGCATCAATAAAGATGCTTTCCACAGATGACTACATGCTTCAGGGAGAGATTATTTTCATCTAAAATAACAGAATAAAGCAAATTGCCCGGGGGACAGACATATTTCCTTATATTATCATAATTTCAGTTTTTAGAAAATCAGTATGCCAAGAAATTGTGTTCATAAAATGAATTTAGCAGTTCCCCAGCCCAAATTCACTCACTCACTCACTCACTCACTCACTCACTCAGGGTTTCATACACACTTAGTAGAATAGCTCCAGGTTAAGAGCATAGGATTTAAAGGTGTGATGCAGTGTTTTGATGAATACATATAATTTAATCATATTGTGTAGGCTCTGCCTTTTGCATTCATGACTTGTCCCATTGTTTTAAAAGGATTGTGAAAGGACAGTTATTCCCTGTGACAGCAACTGATTGTTAACGGTCTCATGAGACAATTATTTCATTCTATTTCAATTCCCTCTTGATCTTCTTTGATTTTGATCTTACGCAGGTACAGTCCTAGAATGAGGATAATAAAGGTCTTAGGGAACATCCCTTTCCCTGTTTAAAGATGGAATCTTCTGGAATCATTGGCATCTTCTTTGAGTATAGCAGCCAGCAGAGCTGGCAAACTACAAAACTCAGTATCAGGTATCAGCCAGACAGCTTACTCTTAGCAAATATGATCATTTGTTGAGTGCAAATGATATTAAACACAATCCAGTAAAACCATAGCAGCCTGTACGAGTAGTGGTAAAAAAGTTTGTAAAAACCAACCTTTTATGCAGATTGGTTGCTTCCCTGACCATTCTCCATCGTCTTGGCAGGTCCTTTGTTCATTGCCACTAAGAACATACGAGTTGTTACAAAAGAAAGCAATGACTGTGCCAATTTTTGCATAGCGTCCATTCAAGAGCCCAGTGTCTTCTACTACTCTTCTGTAGCCATTGAGTGGGCCACCAGGATCTGAGCAGTTTTTTTCTTCTAGCACTAATGATAGGGGAAAAAGATAGTAACCATTTTATCAGGTTCACTACATAATTTTCACCCATCAAATTGCTTGGCATTTCATTCAGATGTTACTAAACAATCTCGACTTTATTAGAGACGTCTTTTCAAGACCCATCTGGGATTCCTGTCTTTGAAAATGTCAAATATTAAAGAAGAAATTATAATACAGAGATGTCTGTTTATAATACACACTTCAGTCTCACTGAAAACATAAGATTCTCAAATTGGTAAAAAGTCTCAAATTGTTAAAACCTTAAGAAGTAGCTGACAATCCTGAAAAAGAACCTTGACTTTCCATGAGTTAATGTCCCATTAATATTAACAAGGCTTCTTCAATAGCATAAAAGGCTGCACTTAAACTATTTGCAGGAAACAGGTCCTTGGCATTATTTTCCCTTTTCTGTATTTTCAATACTTCACTGCACTTGGATAATAAAACTAGACTACTTAATTTTCCTTTTATGTTTGGTTGCATTTTGTTTTCTTAGCACTGAGAGAGATATCTTACTAATCCAGGGAAATACAGGAATTGCCAGAGAACATATGTGTGTATTTACTGACAATAAAAATTTAATATGAAATGCCTACTCATGCTATATTCTGCCTATAAAACCTCTTTTATTTCCTCCTTCCCAGTATTTTCCACTTATTTTTAATTCTTGTTATGTTTTTGGTTTTTCTGGGTTTTTTTTCTCAATAAACTCAGATTTTTGGCCTAAATCTGGAGGACAGTATTCACTATGTGATACTAGAAGATGATTTTTCCTTTATTTTTAGCTTCTCTGCTCTTTCTATTTAGCAGCTGACAAAGTACCTTTATTTCCCCTTTGGATTTCACCTCAGTTTACTTGTCAGGACAACACTAACATGCAATTCTGTTTAATTTCTCTGCCTGGTGTCTCAGTGTATGATAACCAGTGCACATCTAGTTCAGACAGCTGGTGTTGATGCTGCTCACAGAGGGCCCAGAGGACTGGGACATATCAGTTGACCCAAAATTACCTCTTCATATCAGTGCTTCAGACTTGGCTGCCTGCTGAGCCTCAGTTCACAAAAGCACCAACATATAAACACAAAGCACTCAGACATTTATTTAAATTACTGTGAAATCAGCACAGTTACAGTGCAAAGGTATAGCCCTGTCCTGTCACAAAGTCATACTTTGTGCCACCAGACAAAGCCCAGCTCAGCAAAGCATGTGAACACACAGCCAGCCATAAAAATGCCACTTCAATGAAGAGCATGTGCTTTTAAAAGTGAGTATAGCATTCAAGCCAAGTCTATATTTCAGTGTTTTCTTTACAAGCATTGGATTTTAGCAAATGCTGAAGGCTATGTATGTATTTAAATACTTTTCCACAAGTTATATTCAGTAAACAAGGATTTCTGAACTTCCTCTCCATTGGAAGAAAAGGAAAAGCAGAGCCCTGTTTCCTTTTCATTTGGCTCCATTTTCCTTCTGTGTACCTCACAGGCTCTCTCAGTTGTGAACCATAAGTGACTGATAACTTGATAGCAGCTAAAGACTACAGAGAATCCCCCACAGAATAATGCTTTATTTGCAAGTTGCTTTCTGCACTGATGGCTGGCCTGGAGGCATCATCTGATCACCACAGTGCATGTTTCCAAATGTACCAAAAGCTTCACCACGTAAGTCACTTAAAGCCTTCTCTTATTTCAGTGCTTTGACAGTAATGGTCTTCTTCCTTAGGCTCAGGGTTATGACCTTTTTGATTTATTAAAAACAAAGAGAAAACATCTGGGAAGGAGAGACCTAGCACTTCAGTTACTGCCAAGTCTAGAGACAGCTCTTTCTATAGATCTTTAGCCAGGGCCATCATGCAGCAGGGACTTGGCATGATCGTGACATTACATTTACTGCAAGTGGAGACTTCTCTCTAGACAGAAGACTACCTATTGCTTGCTCTTTCATATTAACTCATATAAAGCTGTTCTACAACACTCTCCCCAAAATGCACATTGTTTTACATAATGCACTTATAAAACACTTTATCAATCGAAACAAACTATTCTGAAATACGGAAATGAAATTGTGCAATGCAAATCAACTAAAGGAAATTTAAAGTCTCTTTGGATGTCAAGAAGGAATTTTACAGGTGAACCAATGCGAATGGTAGGCAAGCCATCCTGCACAGTCAGAATGAATGGAAGTTTCTTTTTTGTCAATTTTTGTCTAGGATGGGAATTGAAATGAGTCTAGTGTTCACACAGTAAGCCCCTATTCACCTCCACAGAGTGCACCAGGCTTCTGCAGAGAAGGTGCCAGACACACAGAGTAATGGAAGTAACCATTCATTGTTGCACTATGTTCCTCACTTGGCTTTGGTCCTAGACATTTTCTCTCTATGTGTAAGAAGCACACATGCCTAAAGACCTTGAGGTTATTAGTTTTCAGTAAAGTGATATTTCAGACAGACCTTTATATAAAAACATCTTGCAGGCTGGGGTTCCAGCAGAGTAAAATAAGAATTCCTACTGCTTCTTAAAGACAGGAAAACAAAAGGACATGTTATGTCACAGACCTACCAAATTTCAAGCGAGAAATTGATAGTCTAGTTTCATGGGAATACATTGGCCAAAATATTTGATAAGAATTAAAATTTAAAGTGACCTTACCACATTCAGGATGATGTGTTGACCAAATCCCATCAAGCTGACAGTAGGCAACACGGCTGCCTTTTAAGCTGTAACCTGCGTTGCACTTGAAGTAAACCCGGGCCCCGTATTTAAAGTCATCTCCTTCCACAATACCATGAGCGGGAGCACCTGGAGTCCTACACATCACCACTGACAGTTCAGATATTTCAAAAAAATCCACTTTATTAAAAAAACAGGACTGTGTTAGGATGATTCTTTACTTAGAACATAGAAAAACCAATTACAATGGACACAGGAGTCAAAATTAAAAGACCAGTATATGCTGATCTTTAGAAAGGTGTTTAGATGTCAGCTCTACACACACTTACATCCCACTCTTCAAAACTTATCTGGATCCATTAGGTTCAATAGGATTACTCTGAAGTGTCACACGATCATGTGCATGAATGTTTGAATTTTTAGGACTCATTTGCTCAGAATATTAGTACTTGAAATACTTTTCATCTTAAAAAGGGTTTTGAATGAACTACCATGTGTGGTCAAGAAAATAATCTAGATCCTTAAAAGCCTTATACTAAACTTCTTTCAAACACCTCTTTACATTTTATACAGATTTTCAGATAACTTCTCAGAAATTATAAAGCATCATTATTTGTGTAAATCAAACATTAACATAATTACATTAAAAAGGAACCTTGATATTTACTAAACTGGGATTTTTACCCTTTCCATAGGATATTGGGAAAATGCAGATGATGTTCTATATAACTACTGCAAGTAGTAAATATGAAATTAAGCATCAAAAGCAAGATTTCTCTGACAGCATCAAGCCAACCATGGGTCCACCCAGCACATAAATTTGTCTAATTGTGGCCAACAGTGGATTTGAAGGAAGGACTATAAAATCAGAACAAGCATATCAGAACAAGCATGTAGAATACTTTCCTGGTATAATCTGTCACCATTCAAAAGTCTGAAGCTCAAGGACTACCTTGAACTACAACAGTATTTTTGGCATAACATACCCTGCTGATATTTTTTTAACATTTATTTGTCTTGGTATTCTCTAAACTCAACCGTATACTTGGTCTCCACAATATCCTGGTGGCAATGAGTTCTACAGACTAAGTACAAAAAGTGCACTACCTTCTTTAGTTTTGTTTCTAGTCTGCCACCTGGTAATTTTATTTGATGCTGTACTTTCTTTGTTGTGAGAGGCAGAGAATGTCCATGCCTTATTAACCTTCTCCAAGTCACTTTTTAAGGCCAGCTTCCTGTATGTAGAAATTACGTGTGTATTTCTGTAGGTAATATAGGAAACACGTGGTTTATTATCTACACAGTTACCCATCTCTTTGGCTTTGCCTGGGCTATTCATTGTGAAAAACTGCATGGGAGAGGATTCAGTGCAAGACATAGATATGCAGATGTGTTTTTTACCTGCCACCTGTGGTACTCTGCTGACAATAGGTAGATGCGAAAGAGATGATCCTTACTTTATGCTTTTAGAATTTGACTTTTCTGTTTTGCCTCATAGCCAGTTGCTTGCTAACCTGAAGGCAAATTTTTATGCTGAAAACTTTCAGAGGAAAACTTTTCTAAGTCCTCTGCTCTGTAATTCTTACATAGAGCACACATAAATGTATCCTTTTATATGGGTTGTGGGCCATCCAGTGATTCACATAAAGAAAACATCAAACAATGAGTTGGAAGAATCATTTGTGCACTAGTGAGCAAAGGTCTTGGCAAGAAAAACTGTCTAACAATTAAGCATTAGAGTGGGGCCTGGACTATTAGGCTCCTAATCAAATCATGTCCAGTTAGGGGAGGTCAACATTTCTTTTTGGCTACAAGTATTCTTCATTAATGTCATCATTAGCAAAAGAATATTGAGAAAAATTTAAAAAAATTAATTCCTAGCCTTTGATGTTTCTCATGTGAAATATAGACACACACACACATATATATAGGTGGATATGTGTCTATATAAGCATGTAGATAAATGGAACATAAATAATGAAAACATAGAATTTTTAGGTGTTTTAAATTCTCAGAACACTCATCTTCCCACTCATGATCTCTGTATTCCCAGTCACTCCCTCCATATCTTTCTCTGAGCAGCAGTTTCCCTGCATTTGTATTTCTGTCTTTCAATGTAAAGTCACACTCAGCTTGTCAAATGAGAAAACTAGACCAACCATCTGTGCACCTCTCAGACTTCTACTTTTTATCATAAATACAGGTTTTCTGTTTTGCTTACAGTCCAGTTCAACTCTGCAGAACAAATATTTTGGCACTTTTGTGTTCTAGGTCCATCCTGGAAAAAAATGTCACCAATCTACACTTGCTTACTAACTACA